CATGTGTGTGTGTGTGTGTGTGTGTGTGTGTGTGTGTGTGTGTGTGTGTGTGTGTAAGTGTGTGTTTGTGTGTGCGTGCGTGCGTGCGTTTTCTTGTGTATTACAGTGTTGCTGCTTCATGTAATTTCGCTTAAATGAAATACTTACCTTAGTCAGCCACTCCATTGTGACAGCGGGGATACTGAAGGCCTCCTCGGGCAGCACCAGTAGCACTTTGTCCAAAACTTGCTTCAAGTCTACGGCCTTGTCTGGAGTTGTGACGGTGGACTCATCCGCTTCGCCGGCTGCTGATTTTGCTGTAGTTAATGATAGAACTGTTTCGGACGTGTCCGTGTCCTTTTCGGGTGCCGGACTTGAGTTGGACGGTTTATCGTCGCTCTCTAATGATTGCGAACCGTTACTCATTCCTCTTCTGAGGCCATTATCAGCGTCCATGGCGGATGAGACGTACCTTACGGCAAGAGCGCCCAACTCTGAACAACCCACGCCTTTGTTACGAGCTTTAGACAAGATGGTTGCGAACCATTCAGGACACAGGGACACCAGGCTAGAAATGCTTTGTTCATCCAGTTGATCGACGATTTGATCCGCTGCTGGTGGTCCCAGCACCCTAGTGAACGCTGACAGATTTTCACTTCCGTGTGAGGTAGGCGCGACCTTTGTGAACGCACCCCCATTCCTGAAAGCTCCGGTGGGAACACTGGGCTTCAGCCAGCATTCTACTAAAGCGTTTATGCACGAATCAACCACGCCTGCAACTTTAGCAGCATCACCAACACTTTTGCATTGCATCAGCAGATCAATTATTGATGGAGTCGCGCGGTTCAGCTTTGCGGCAGACATGGTGTCCCCTAAATACTTTTCCGACACTTCCACAAGATTGCCAGGTCCAAACATTTTCAGATATTCCGCCGCCGAGCGAATAGCCACAATGTTGCCTTTGTTCATGTTGACAGGCATGTTGTAGCAAAAGTCTGCTACCTGTCCAAAAATCTCGTTACCTCCCGGAAAATTCCAAAGTTCTTCCCGGACTGGATCAGCCTCTCCTCCTGGGCGAGATCTGGCGAGCTCACAAAAGTGATCCGACCTCGCGTACAGAGGGAACTTGTGTAGTTTGTGCTCTTGCTTATCAAGCACGACTGTAATGTCGCTCAGATCTCCGCTCTCTCGAAACTTTGAGAAATCCATCATGTCAGCTGAGCGCTGAGAAAAGATAAGGGAAAATGTCACTTTTATTTATCCCCTAAAGAAACGTTACGCTCTGATAGGGTGTACAATGCATGTACATGACATAATATTTAGAAATACATGTAATGTCAACTTCGCATAACACACAATGATATCATGATACAGGCAAAGCAGACATACCATTGTTATTCGCTGCAGTGCAATACTTTGTTTTGTTTTTGTTTTGTATTTTTGTTTTGTTTTGTTTTGTTTTAAGCTAGAATTAATGTGCCTTACTCAGTTTAATGATTTAAGTAAACATCATATAGACAGCCAATAGAAGTGTCGTGTCACTGACACCGCTTTTGTCATTTGTAAGCCCGAGTTTACAAACCACTCGGCCACTGGAGCCTTCATGAAACTTTTCGGGAAAAGCTCAGAAAATTAGTAGGCTATACGTTCAACAATAGCTGATCTATTCGTGCGGTTTATGGCGTGTATAGTCATGCATTATATCAACATACTAACTTGTACTGATACATAGCTTTTTCAATGTTCATTAGTATGAAAAAACATCAACGGGGTAGAGATCATTCAATGTTTTCAAAATCATAAGCGGATAGGCAAAAATAAATGAAAGAAGAAAGGTGCGACATTGTTAACCCCC